GTAATAAACAGTGAAATGGAGTGAATAGTGTACAGAATATTGCAATTCTGCACATTTGGACTCATTTTTTGTTGTTGTATTCGTGCGGTTCACGAGTTATGGCTTTTATGTGCAATCAATCCATTGGCAGACAATTACACTATTCTTATCGTTGTTTTTGTTCATCCAATATATGATTAGTGAAGGCATAGAATGGCAACTATTTGTCATAAAACTAAACACTATTTGTTTAGTCATGATTTGCTTCGTCCCCGTCATGTGAGTCGAGTCTCCACTATATAATCAAGAGAGAGAGAGAGAGAGAAAGAGAGAGAGAGAGAGAGAGAGAGAGAGAGAGCATCACTTCTTGTGCTCCCATTCTTCCCAATTCTTGTGTTCAGTTGTTTAACTAATTTGTCTGACGAACACGTATTTCCTGAGATGAACCCTCACTGCCATCCCTGCCATCCCTAAGAAGACCTCATCTCTTTGCTAACTATAGTGTTCACAATACTATGTTTACTACAATTTAGTAGTGCTAGAGCTCTCTCTCTCTCTCTCTCTCTCTCTCTCTCTCTCTCTCTTCTATTGTACGCTTTCAGACGCAATAATGTCTTTGATTATGTCTAACGTTTACGACCTCTTGTTTTCTTTGCTTGTAATACCATTTGATAAACTGATGACCCCTTCGGTTGAGATATGTTTTGCAATTTTACAATAAGTTATATTCGGTTATTGTTTTTGTTTGGTTAGCCTCTGGTGACACATATAACGCATAAATTTTTTAGAGTACACTTGTGTTACAAAAGTTATGATAATATACACTATTTTTTCTGTTATTGCTTTTATGTTTGAAGCCCTTAAGGTGTTGGAAACGAGTGATGGAGAGAGAGAGAGGGAGAGAGAGAGAGAGAGAGAGAGAGTGCGGGTGCGTTGGGAACGAGTACTACAGAGTTAGAGAGTGTCACACATTATATAATTTAATGCAATGTATTGTTGCATAAAAAGCCTTTTCTCTCTCCGAGTAAAACATTTTCGTGAATTTGCAATAAGTATTTCGTTCACCAGTTTTGGTGCTCTTGTTTTTGCCTTTTATTTATTGCCATCAGTTTTATGAGTCGAAGGGATATTGTGAGTGAACACAAAGCCCAGGCCTAACATATCTGTTACGATCACATTTCTTCATCTATTTTAGACGATTGTGTTGTAAATCCTTTTTTCTTAGACTTATGCCTTAAATTTCTTTTAGACCACATATTCTCCTCTCCGACACAAAAACACAATGAATATGAGGTCTATTCGGTGTCTTCAATGTCTTTTTACAGACAAAAAGCTCACAATAAGTGCTATAAAATTAATGAGAAATGAGACAAATCTGGTAATCAATTGGAAATTTATTACCGTCTTTCCCACTCATTATGACATTATTTTTGTCAAAAAATAACAATAAATTTATTTGTCTTATGTTTTAACAAAATAAGGAAAATGAGTGTTTGTCTTGACTTTCAAAATACTTGTCATTAATTTTTGTTAGATTTTGCTTTGAAATGAATAGCTTTTGTGAAGAGCTTCTGAAACAGTTTTTCTTCCGTATAATCACAAGGAAAGCAAAACAATGGCTAAAAGAAAATATTATTCAAATGGTTATCAAGTTTTCCACAAAAATAAATTTCATTTTCAAGAATAAGTTTCACTCTTTAAATTGAATACCATTTTGAAAGAGATTTAATTTAAAACAATGGTTTTTCGGGCAAATATTAATCAAAATTAGTCATAATTCTGAACACAACTGCCTTTCATAGTGTCTGTGAATGGCGTGGAGAGAGAGGGAGAGAGAGAGAGAGATGAATGAAATGAATGAATGCTTTCTTTCTTATCGTAAAACCTCTGGGAATTCGTAAAGAATTGTAATGAAAATTATGGCAACTCTTTAAGAGACGAAAACTACAGCACAATATGAATGAATGAATTAATTTGAGGCTTTCATTCCCTAAACCAATATGTTTTGCGCTCAAAACCAAAACGAATTGAACCTAATTCTCAAATAAACAAAAATTATATTTTCTTCAGTAATGTAAACATATTCTTGAATAATAACAGCAATAAAATAAAATTATAAATTTAAAGATAGAAATCAAGTTATTATGAGAATTGCATTTAAATTTAAATTGAATATTAGACCGAATTTTTGGGGTTAAATGCATTCACAACTTTATGCCACAAAAATAAATATCAATTATATGCACAAAAAGGAGATTTTCAATGAATATAAATTAAAATAAAAAATAAAATAAAGCCTGCAAAGCAAAAATGTTTGACCTTTTAGTGCACACTTCATATAATGAACAATATTTGCAATTATATTACACCAAAGAATTACACAATTATATATTTTTCAGTTTATTTGTGTTTCTAAAAGCGTTTGAATTGATGTTAATTTGATTCCTCTCTTTCTCTCATCCTTTAGATCAATGATACGGTGTTTGCATTGTGTGTATAGTCTGTGGCCACCCATGGGCTCCGTTTGAAGAGCTAATAACACCATTCAATGAATACCTAATGCAATGGTTGTGTAAAAGCATTTTAATACCATTCCTATCGCACAGAAACGTAATGTTTGTCATGAGTGACAGAATCTACAAAATTTATCAATTTATCTAATGATTTGCAAACTTTGCATAAATATCAGTCAAATTGTCAGAGAGATTAGTGTCGAAAATATCTATTTTTATATAAAACTTTAAGTAATTAGAATCGATATAACGTTATTGTAATGGAATTTTTGTTATATATTTAACAAAATTGTATTGCATTTTGTGAATGTATTGCCAATGAATTGAAGGCCACAATTGTTTAGCGCTCATAAAATCTGTTTTAATGACTCGTTTCTATATTGACTTAAATGTAAATTTGCTTTTTTATTGTCGAGTCATACGATTTAGGGATAATTTGAATGATATATCGATAGTAAAGAGTATTTCCGAAGTTTGCGATAAAGATAAGAGTTTGTCATTTCTAGGAATCAAACGCAACAAAAATACAGACATTTTGTGATGAATAATGACTATTATATGCGTTTAAGTCCCCAAAGAGTTTGAGCCCATCTCTTCTCTTCTACTTCTTTCACACCCTTTGAGTAAAACAAATTCTGAATACAATAATAGTTATCCGAAACGCAATCTTTAGCTCCACTCCAATAAAGACTTATTCAGACATAACATCCCTTAAAATGGTTTCACGAGTTGTAACCAAACAAAACACAATCTTCTTTGCAGTTGGAGTTAAAGTTAGTTTACATTTCTATTTAGTGCCCGAAATCTCACTGCCATTCAATCGATTTTCATTTCATCGTATTCTCGGAGTTCTCGTAAAATAGTTATATAAAGAAATTAATAAAAGAAATTTCAACTCAAACTTAAAAGCATTTTCCGATCAATAAAGTCAATGAACTGTCGCTAAAGAATTATTTTCTCATTTAATAATACTTATTATGTAATATCGGGAAAATTGCTTAATTAACACATCAATGAGAAACTAATTAAATGTAATATTTTCAATATTTATTTTTTCATTCAAATTGGATTTCCTTCAAAACCAAACATAACATTAAAATTAATGTCAGCTATAAATTAGATATTTAATTTAATTAATACAAAAAAGCTTGTTTATTAATTAATTGCTGTTTAATTGAATCACTCGTTTGTAGTGATAGTGAGACTCAAATATTTGCGAGAATAAAATTTGCTTAAATTCTAACCCAAAGTCATTTGTATTACATTTTTTATATACACAGTACTCGTGTATATTAACCGCAAATACCTGTAAATGCACTCTAAAGGAAAGGAGTGCTAATATTTCTGTAAGAGTTGTGTATAAAATTGTTTTTTAGTGCAGGTGTGCTATTGATCCCCATTTAGTGATATTGTTTTTACCTTTGAATTAATGTTTTCCTCACTATATATACATTTAATTCAAATAATTAATTTCTATGCGAGAAAGCAATACAACCAGACGTTACAGTGAACACAAAGACCTGTGTATTCAGTTATAATAAATATAATACATAAACATTTTCAGGTTTTGTAATGATTGACAGAACAGGTAATTATGTCTTCCCTTAACGTAGCATAAAAACGGAATATAAGAAAAGTTTATTTTATTCAATAATAAACCAGAAATAGTTTATACAATGGATAGAGAGGTGCAAAAGAAGGTCTGTTTGAGTTGTTTCTCCAAACGAAAAGTCAAACATTTATGCATTTGCTCTCAAATCCAATTTGAAAGCATATTTTCATATCAAATCTATAACACATTTATAATGTATTACTTATTGATTCATATTTCATGTTAAGTAAGAATTTCATTTTATAGTCAAAACAATATATAATTTCCTTTAAAATAATTTCTGAATTCATTATTATTGCAAAATATTAGACAATAAAAACTATAATTTCACTAAATTATCAGATAATAGTTGAGATTAAATTCATAATTAATAATCGTTATCGTCGTTACGTTATTATATTTAAGATTAGCAATTATTTTCAGTATGAAAACCATTATTCACTTATAGTTATCAGTTTCTAATTATTTTTTTATTAAAATTTTTTTTGTTATGGCATTTAATTTACTATATTATTAATTGAAAATATATTTTATCACAGGTTTTAAGTGTAACACTCACTCCATGGGAAACGTAAACTTATTTTTTCTCAATTTTCTCTGTAATACAAACTATTAATGCGCTAAATATAGATATTTTAAATATAGCCAAATCTGAAGCATTAAATCAGATCAGAGTTACTATTTTTGTTTCCACACAAACAAAACTCACAGCAATTCTTATACCAAAAGAGTGTTATATAATGTATGGACTGTTCTCTCGTAAATGGGAATCAGAAAATAAAATAACAGATAACTGACATGTAGTTCACGTCTCGCAAAAATTTTGTTTTTATCTAACAAACAGTTAAATGAGTTTTTTTGTGTTGAATTGGCAAAAGTGTGGACGAGTTAAATGTTTAGTTGATTTTCTTGATGGCCGTCGCAAACAACTCTTTAAGAGTTTCCAATTGTTTTGGTTGCATAGTTAGGGGTCGAGACAATGAACGCGATAATAGATCTATGGATTTGCGTTTGGCGTTCAGATGAGGCTCTCTCGACGGGACGGCGACTTCGCTGATATCGTGCTCTAAATACAAGCCTTTATACCCCATATATGGGCTGATTGTCAGAGCCGTTAATAACTCGATGTGGATCTTGTTTTTGGACGGAGGATAGCATTCATATACGCTCTGCAATACTAACAACATATGCTTAATATCTGCAGGAATTGCTTTCTTTTCATTTACTAAATCTTTGAGTTTGTCCTCAAAACTCGTTTCGAAAATCATTTCATCTCTGAATGCAATAAGTGTTGTCTGCCTTACGGTTAGTCCGCACTTAGCCTTAACTCTATACAGAATTGAGTCCAAAGCGGGCAAAATGTTTGAATAAAATTGAACCCAAATGTCACACAAGCCGTCAATTAAGTTTGCCTTTAGGACCAGTTTCTGGCGAAGAATTGCCATCCCTTTCTTCAGTATATGTCTGTTATAGCGGTCGTAAACAAATGATCCGATATTAGAGTCCAACAAATGTCTGACGTGTTCATGAATGCTGACCAAAGAGCCCGATCTCAACAGCAATGGACCCGATCTCTCAAATATCTCGAGAATAGCCTCTTCGAGACGCATCCAGTGTTGGGTTTGAGATAAAGTGATGTTATGATACATTGGACTCTTCATTGTCGACATATCTCCCAAACATATCGTTTTATAAGAATCTTCTGATATTTCATCCAAAGGATTGTTTTGTCGTTTCTGTGAATTGGATCGATGGGTACGGACTTTGTCTTCACTGATATCTGCCGTTTCCACAGATTTCGTAAATGGTTTCCAATTCCATGAGAGGTTTGGTATCGATGTCCCACTTCTTGGCATTGAACCAAATAGTTATTTAATTAATTCACTTATAATAATAGGTTTCTTTATAATTGAATAAAATATAAATACAGTTAAATAGCAATTTAATGTCTATAATAATGTACTGAACATAAAACATAATAAATTCATTTTATACCAATTCATTGCATTTATACAGCAATTATACAGTATTTAAATTAAACAATAAACTGTTTAAATACTTCATTTACGATAAGATATTATTTCATGAGTCGATGCCTTAATACGTCTGTATATATCTTGATATTTAGGAAATATTTTATGACTTTCACTAAATTGTTTGACAAACACTTATTAAATCTAAATTTTCCATTACTTAAGTAATTAAACACGAATTTATAAAAACAATTAAATTGTGTAAAATGTATAAAATATTTTGAACTACAGAATAAAGTGGGAAACAATTGAAAGTTGAATTGTATTCTAACATTATGTTTCAATTTAAATGCTTAAACACAGTCTAAGTATTAAATGTTAAGAATTTTATATGATTTTCATTTCGAAATGACATCAATTTATTGCATTACATGTGCTGTTGCTATCATTAATGATATAAGTTATATAAAAAAGTTTATGAAATATTAAATGTTTTGTAACATAAGGACTTCAAATCGTAAACTTATAATACTTTTATTATACATCACTTAAGCAACAATTTTATTGTTTAAATAATTTGACTAAATTTTTTCTGTGAAAATATTTTACTCGTAAAAAAGTCTCAAGTCTTAATTATATTATGTAAGAAATTGCTTGTTAATTGTTATGTGGTTTGTTGTGTTCACACAATCACACTCTCGATTTGCAAACACACCAGAAAGTGGTGTTATTTTATTTCATTAAACATAATGTAAATATAAATTACATAATAGTTATAATAAAAACTTACTATTATATCAAACATTACATTACGTTCAGAAATGATTTAACAAATTTACACGAAAAACATTTTATACATAAAAAGTTGAGAAATTGGCCTAATTTTGTAGCGAAGTTGAGTCGATATCATGGGATATCATTGATATCAATGTTCACTGAATTGAAATAATCATAAAAACTTATCGCCTATTAATAAACAGCGCTATTAAATGACCGAACGTTGGAATAAGATTTTCAATTGACTTTTTTGTTGTTGACTTGTTTTTTAGGTTTTGTCAGATAAACAGAAAAAATTAAATTAAAAATTGAAATCACGTTTTTGTTTAAATCACAACCGTTTGGAAGGATTTTTTGATTAAAAGTTATAAAAAATATTATTTTCAATGTTGTTTTAATGTGCAAATAATGCTAATTCAATACAATCTTAACCATATAATTCTCATTTGTATTAATATTATTTATTTGTTTATCAATAAATTATTTTGATTTTCTGGATATGGCTTTTTGTAATTATAATACTTTTTAATTAAAAATTATTACAAAATAAAAATTTCTTTTATTTAAAAATTGATTGAAAATATGTAAAACTTGTTGAGAGAATAGGGCATTGAGTTCAGTGAGAGGTTTATAATAAATCAATTTCACTGAAAATAATGTTAATGAATGATTTTGAAATGTATTTTAAAAATTCCTGTTTAACTGTGAATTTAATTGATTAAATCATTTGTTATTTTAGGAAAGCCTCGCTCTCTAACTGAGTCTTGAGGTTTTTTTCCCTCTAAACAGCTCTCGACATGAATTGCAATGAATATCAAAAGAGCTTTAATTTGTTTTCTTTCACAAAAACATTGTTAACAAACTGTGATATGAATTATCTGTTAAATCGATTGTAAATAAATTGTTATATTTATGAAAATTATTAAACTTATATGAAAAATGTTCAGAATATATAATGGATTGGAAAGCGTGAAATATATAACCTCAACAATCAAACTAATTATAATTGATGTATTATAGAAATTAATGTCAGGGTTGTCTTGCTTTTATTCCTTACAGATTCCTATTAGATAACTATTTGCAAACTTTTCTCAACACAATTCCCGTTTCAGATTCAATCGAAATATTAGTTTTATTTCTCTCTCTCTCTCTCTCTCTCTCTCTCTCTCTCTCTCTCTCTCTCTCTCTCTCTCTCTC